CATGATCATCTGCGCAAATAGCCACGTCCATGCACCACTTTCCAACCTCGCAAGAGGATGTTAAGCTTAATATTGTTCTTAACGCCATCCCATAAACTTTTTCGCACCTCCAACTTGTTAATGAATTTTCGTTACACTGTTTACCGATATCCTGTTTACTTCTGACCACGTGCTATTGGATGATTTACCGATAATGGCGTCGGATATGATTATATTTTATCCTGAGCCGCGCATGTGATGCTCCGTATCAAACAACTGGGTGAACTATTTTTCTTAAACCTGCTTGTCTAATTTAGGTCAATAAAATACGGCCATAAAAGCGCACGCCTCATAGTATCTTACAACTTTAATACGAACTCTGATTCTTAATTACCCCTTCCCGACACTAAACAACTACGTGACTTATTACCCATGAAAATGCATGAGTATTTTTTTGTCAAAACGGAACTGAACTGAGATTATTATCCTCCCGTGCGTCTTGCACCGCGCAAGGTTCCATGGATGCACAATAAATTCCTTAGACTATGGATTTTTGTTTTCTGCGTCACATCATCTGATAAGTCAAATACTTTCCCAATCGAATGTTATCAGACGCGGTCTTATTTACGGTCTCTTCGTTATTCAGTCTATTTCATCGTGTGCTCTCACCTCTGGCTGGCACTCTGAATCTCGTAACCTTAGCGAAAAATCACAATGTGATCAACCGTTATTGCAGTTGGCACGTCACAATTCTTCACCACCGTGGTTGGCTGGGTTGGGTAGTGATATGCTCTCCCTCAAGATTTTGATTAGGCTGCGTAACGGCTTCTGTCTTCACAGATGACTGTCTCGGTTAGTTTAACTTTTGGGAAAACTATCGAATCATGATGCCTTACTCAAATAATAAGACTTCCAACCTTATTTCCATATTATCAACATTTTGTTTGTTAAAATGGGTCTCGCGAACGTAGAGATTTATATTCTACAGACCAATGTGCCGTACAATGCCGTCATATGAATTCATTTACAACGCGCTCCTTGCCTCTCTTTATGTGGGTCACCGTTGAACTTCAGGATATCTAAGTATACTCATTGAAAAATCATGTCCGAGGATGAAATAGAACATCTATTCAATCGTTTAGAGAAAAAAGAAACCATGTGCAGATGATGTAAAACTGTCTGATTAATTCTCTGATGGTCAATTGAGTAATACGTTTGTCGATTACCAGCGTGATCCGGGTTCGATCCTTTGTGCAGCTTCGCAAGATCGAATCGACTGTAGATTGGTTCTCTGCTCCGATTTATTTCGGGTTCGGAAATATATAGACCGTTTGGATATTAAGGGAAGGTAATGTCACTAAAGTTTTCAACTGCAGTTTACGACTCAGTCATTGTTTACGGCCGTCTCAACGTTTTCATTCGCTCTCCCGACCACTCCGTGGTATAGGCAGTGGAAAGCAAACAGTCATGTGATCACTAGCTCCCATCTCGTTTCCCATGGTCTTTGTTACCACTCCGATTGACCTTTGACCTTAATCATGTGTCCAGCT